AGTGCTAGCTATTTGGTCTCTCTGTCGTTTGCGTTGCTCGGACATTGTTGAGATATTTGTTGAGACGGAGTCTGATCGATACCTTGTATCTGACAACCTTATCGGAATCTTGAAAACATTTTGAGGGGGAAGAAGCTTACTGAGTGACTCTCTAACAGATTTCATAATGTAAGGGATCAATGCTTCTACTTCCGAAGCTGTATATTCTGGTGAGATTTTTGAAGTTGCAGGTGTTGATGTTGCCGCTGCAGCATAGGAGAAGTTAGGTTTTGGCGTCTGGGTTTTCACTTTTTTCTTTGCTTCAGTGTATGATATTTTTTCAATAACTTTGACTCTCTGGATAGCTGCTTCTGTCTTGTATATTGGACATCCCTTATATACTGCTGAGTGTGGTCCATTGCAATTAACACATTTCTTAGGGTCCGTACAAGACGTTCCTTCATGTGGAGGTTTCCCACAAACGCATAATTGTTCGTTGTCACATCTGTCAGCGACGTGGCCAATCTTTTGGCATTTGAAGCATCTGGTTGGTGGTGGTATATACGGTCTGATACTAAGTTTATAGTACGCAACACAAATATTGTTTGGAAGCGTGGGAGTATTAAAAGTTAGTACGTGCGAAGGTGTGTCAGTTAAAACACCACTTTTTCTAGATTTCAATCTTCTCACATCTATGACTCCAGCTGTTTTTAGTTCTTCCTTAATTTCATCTAGTGTACAATTCATAAGATCTCTACAGTAGATCACACCTTTAGACTTATTCAAACTTATATGCGGGGTAACTATTACATCCATATCAGTAAATCTTTTTACAGCTAACAATCTTTTTGTCTGTGCATTACTAGACGTTTGAACAAGTAGACCTTCTTTTATCTTCTTTACAGATCGGATTTCTCCAACTAATCCGTATAGCGTTTTCGAAATCACAAATGGACTCACTTTGTCAAAACCTTCAGAAGACGTTTCTCCTGTCCTTTTAACAAGCAGGAACCGGGGCATTAATTCCACCGTCTCGTTGCCAGTGCCAGTGCCCGTTTTGTGGAGGGCGGGCGCCTCCGTTTGTTTGTTATAAGACATATCCATATTTGTCCCACGAGAATGGGAAGACAATGGTCACCTGCAGCAGTGCTCCCACACTACAGGAAGGCTAAGTACAACCAGTGTTGCCAGGCACCTGGAGGGCACCGTTCGAGACTCGCTACGTGCAGCCATTCACCCCTAGGCACGGTCCGCCTTACACCGTAGGTTCCGGATTTCGCAGGTTGTCTCCTGTTCTGGAAGGGGTAAGATAAAAGGGAAAAGAAGGATGAGGGATAGGAAAGAGGGGGGTAAAGTCCAGGGTTTGGTAGAATGAGCAAGACTACCAAATCCCGAAACTCCCTGACTGGGGCCGTGGGGGCGACGCTCCCCATGTATCTTCCCTTGAAAGTGGATCAACGATCCAGCTTCAAAAGTAGATACCCCCTGCGGGGTATAATCATTATTATTACTATAATTATTGTTGTAATTGTTATTATTACTATTATAATAATAATTATTATTATATATTATTATTATTATATTATATTATTATAATCATTATTATTATTATATTATTATTATTATTATAATTATTGTAATTATTATTATTATATTATTGTAATTATTATTATTATTATTATTATTATTAGTATTATGTAATTATTTATTACTATTATTATAGTAGTAGTTCTTGCGATTATGCAGCATCGACTACTGGGTCATTAGCTGCCTGTCGTTGTGTGATTCAATTTTGGTTGAGTATAATTAGAGTTTCCAGTAAAAGCCCGTGCATTTCAGAAACGATATCGTGTTTTTTATTAAATCAGGCTTTTTCAGATTTTCTGCGAAATCTCTTGACAGACCAAAACTGTTTCTAAGGTTGCTTAACGCTGGACATTCTATCATAATATGCATTGCAGTTAATCGTGCCTCGCATGACGGACAATTTGGATGGCCTTGGCCAGAGAGTAAGTAGGAATGTGTCAATGCTGTGTGGCCCAAACGCAGTCTATGTATCCGGACGGCTTCTTCTCTACTCATCTTGACGTTAGGTGTCCATTTTGTTACATCAGGTTTTATTGTTCTTAGCTGAGTAAGTTCATTGTTCCACTGTCTTTGCCATGCTTCTGTTATGCATTGTCTAATTTTCATTTTCAAGTCTGGTGCTTTCACTATTGTACAGTCAATTCCAGTTGCGGCAGCAGCCTGCCTTGCAGATTGATCTGCCAGTTCATTTCCTAGTATACCTACGTGTCCTGGTACCCATATAAAGACTACCCTCTTGTCGCCATCCATCAACACCTTTAATGTCTGAAGGCATGCTAAGATTAACGGATCACGGGAATAACGATTTGACATAGCGTTTAGGGTGCTCAAAGAATCGCTGACTATAAGAGTAAGGTTGCTTTTTGACTCTATCTGGCAGTATTTAAGCGCCTGTAAAATTGCATACTGTTCGGCTGTGAAAATCGATGTCATTGGTGGGAGAGTCCATAAATGGGCTACCCCGTTTATGATAATCGAGCAACCAACTCCTGAGGCAGTTTTCGAACCGTCTGTGTAGATGGTTTCGGCACATGTGTACTGTTCCAGGATACCTTGAAAATGAGACCTCAGTTGTACTGTTGGTGTTTCCTTTTTGTGAAATTTAGTTAGCTCCGTGTTAACTTGTGCAGATGGGATCTGCCAAGATGGGGCTTCATTTTTGAGTGGATATACTGGCATTTTAGTCAAATTTAGCTCTCGAGATATTTCACAAATTCTCACACTGAGGGGTCTTGTGATAGTAGGCCTTCTATTATAGGTTTCATCATACGTACTTAACAGAGAGAAATTCCGATGATGTGGCGTAGCAGATGTACTGACTTCGTATGAGAGTATGAGTCTTTTTCTCCTTAGAGTTAATGGCTCGACGGCTGCTTCAGCGCAAAGGCTAGCTGCTCTCGTTGTACGGAATGCTCCAAGGCAGTACCGCAGTCCTAGGTTTTGGATAGTATTTAACTTATTGAGTGCAGTACGTCGAGCGGATGAGTACACAATGCATCCGTAGTCGATTTTTGATAGAACCAAGGACTTGTATATTTTTATTAGAACCTCTGTATCAGCTCCCCACCGGGTAGAACTCAGACACTTAATAACATTCAACGTTGACTTACACCTATAGATTAATTCTGCAATATGACATTTCCACGTTAACTTTGAGTCAAATATCAATCCCAAAAATCTCATAGATGTTTCGTTGGGAATTAACTGGCCTTGTAGATAAAGTAGTGGCCCATCATGCTGACGTTGGAGTCTGCAGAAATGTACGCACTTTGTTTTGGTATTTGACAATGTGAAACCACTGTTTATGGCATTTTGGCTTATTTTGTTTATTGCTGTCTGCAAGTTACCAGAAATCTCTTCAATGGAAGGGCCTGATGATAGTATACACAAATCGTCAACGTATAGACATCTGTCCACCACCGGATTTATGGACTCGGCAAGTTTATTAATAGCAATCGCAAAAAGCGTAAGCTAAGTGTCGATCCCTGTGGTATTCCATTTTCCAAGGTGTGGACTGTTGAAAGAGTGTTTCCTACACGTACTTGAAAACGCCTGTCTGTAAGGAAGGATTTTAAAAATTTTGGGAGATTTCCTCTAAAGCCCCAGTTGTGCAGTTGGTATAGAACATCATATCTCCAGACCATATCAAAAGCTTTTTCTATGTCAAAACACACAGCTACTGTGTGGTGACGGTTTTTAAACCCATTTTGGATGACATTCTCTACATAGACAAGTTGATCCACTGTAGACATATTTTTTCTAAATCCTGCCTGGTAATCAACAAGTAAGCCATTTTTTTCAAGAAACCACGACAGGCGCTCATTTACCATTCTCTCTAATATTTTTCCGAGACAGCAAGTAAGACTTATGGGCCTATAACTTTCAGGCAAGAGTGGATCCTTTCCGTGTTTAAGAATGGGAATGACGATTGCAAGTTTCCAGTCTTTTGGGTATATTCCTGCAAGCCATATCCTGTTGTATATGTTGAGGAGAGTAAGCTTGAGATGGAGAGGGAGATGACGGATCATCTCATAATTTACCATATCCGGACCAGGAGCTGATCGATTTGTCTTTTTAAGGCTTCTTCTAGCTCAAACAGTTGGAATGGCTCATTATACGCTAAAGATACGTCTGTTGAAAAGTCTAATGGTAATTCCCTTGCATTTTTGGTGGACCTGAACTCGCGACTATAGTTTTCCGAGCTGCTGACGGTAGCAAATTTATCTGCTAGTAAATTACAGACCTCATTTGTGCTGTTAATGATGTTGCTGTTACAGGTCCGCAGATGTGTGATTTGCCTAACTGATTGTCTACCATACACGGCTCTGACTTTATTCCATACTTCACTTGCTGTCGTTTCAGTAGTAATAGTGGAGACTATTCTCTCCATGATTTTCTCTGGCTTTCTAGAATAAGACGTCGCGCTTTAGCTCTAGCTTTCTTAAAAGATATCATGTTTGATACCGTGCAGTTCCTCTTAAAAATATTGAGTGCACGCTTTTTTGATCTCACGGCATCGGATATGTCAGAGTTCCACCATGGTAACCGACGGCCTCTTGGAGATCCACCACCAAGCGGAATGCTGTTCACCGCAGCCTGATGTATCAGCTGAGTAAAACTATGAATACCAATGTTATTATCTTGTACAGGACTCACAATTGATAAGTAGTCTTCGAATTGCTGCCAGTTTGCCTTTGACATCAACCAGTATTGTGGTACTTGGGGACTACTTCTAGATATGTCAAAGGACGTGATACAAGGAAAATGATCACTATGATACATGTCATCTAGAGCTCTCCATTGGAGGCGATCGGCTATGGATGTTGAACTGATCGCTAGATCAATCGCAGAGAAAGATCCGGAACGAGCAGCCAGATGGGTGGACATTCCTGTATTTAGCAACATCAGATCTTCTCTGTCTAGTAAGTTTCCTATCAATTCTCCTCGGTGATCTAAACGTCCTGATCCCCACAGGGGATTATGCGCATTGAAATCTCCAATGAGCAAGAATGGTGCTGGGAGCTGAGATATAACGTTTTCGATGTCACCAAGTCGCCAATTTCCATCAGGTAGGTATATATTACGGACAGTTACCTTTACAGGAACTGTTATTCGAGCTGCAACAACTTGTAGTGCTGAGTTTACACATAAAGGCTCAAAACAGACATCCTCACGTAAAATTATCGCAACTCCTCCATGTGCTCGCTCGACAGCTGCAACATCTTTTCTCAAGATGTTTATTTTCTAAGAGAGTAAGTTTGATTTGGTCTGAGATGGCTCTCTTGAATACATAAGCACATTGGATCATGATTTTGTAAAAGCAGCCTAAGCTCACAGTACCGTTGGACAATTCCATTGCAGTTCCACTGTATGATTGATTCCATTGCAATTTTAAGAGTTTAAATGTATGTAAATAAAATACTTTCACAACAAATAAATAAAATAAATAGTATGTAGGGATGGATGGTACATAAATAAAAATAAATAGTTTTTTTTTTTTTAAATAGAGTTGATATAAGTGATATAGCATCACTCACGGGGCAGTCCTTTTAGGCCTGCCCCGTTTTTTTGTTGGATTTGAGTTGGGGTCCAGAGCAGATGAATCATCATCTGTAGTGGAGTCCCCTGGTTTTTTTCTTTTTTCGACGCTGCCGATAAATTTGTAGAGACAGAATCAGATCTATCTCTACGGAAGATTAGCCCTGATGATGGGGCTTTAAAATGGTCGCACTTAGATGTAGAACATGAGATTACGTTTCTAACTGCAGTTTCGATATGAGGAATTATTGTTGATATGATCTGCTGAATGTTCATTTCTGATGACTTTTGGACGGCAGCAGAATAGGACGTAGTAGGTTTTGGAGTGGTTATATTTACTTTTCTTTTTGCTTCTGCATATGTTATGTTTTCCATTACCTTTACTTTCTGTATTGCTGCTTCAGCTTTTAGTTTTGGGCAATTCATATAAGCTGCTGAATGTGGACCTTCGCAATTTACGCATTTTTTGGGCTCCGGGCAAGGACCTTCATGTGGAGGATTACCACATGGACATATTTTTCCTTCTGACAGTTTCCAGCTGTGTGACCTAAAGCTTGACAGTTGAAACACCTGGTAGGTGGTGGAATATAAGGCCTTACATTTAATTTATGGAACGCAACGCTGATTTCCTTTGGTAAGACAGTTTTCCTAAATGTCAGCACGTGATTTGGAGTTTCAACCAGTTCTCCATTTCTTTTACTCTTTAGCCTTCTTACGTGTATGACACCATCACCTTTCAGTTCATCCAATTCTCCTCAATCGAGCAGTTGAGCAAGTCTCTGCAAAAAATCACGCCTTTTCGGGTATTGAGGGACTGGTGTGCCTCAATACTCACATCAAATTCTCCAAACTTTTTTCCTGGAATAGTCGCATAGTCTGCTGTGTAGATTTAGTTTCAACAAGGAGACCTTCTCGAACCTTTCTCACTAACTTTACTTCACCAACAATTCCATATAATGTCTTTGATATAACAAAAGGGCTCACTTTATCAAAATTATCGCTTTCTCTTTTAACAAGCAGAAACCGGGGGCAATCGCCCACCGTCCTCACGCCTGCTGAAGGACTGGAAAGTGCTCCCCCAGCACTACCCGTTTTTTGGAGGGCGGGCGCCTCCTGGATGTTTTGGTTTTGAGTAGGCTTCATCTTATTCCCACGAGTAGGCTCTGATATGGAGGTCGACTATGAAAGAGCAGGCTTATCATAGCAAGGCTAGTTTCAACCGGAGGTCGCCCGGTATCCGGAGGCAGCCGTTTGGAACACACTAACGCAGTGCCATTCATCCCCTCAGCACGGCAAACACCTTGGGATTGCGGATTTTTTTAGCAGGGACAGCTCTAGCAGCATGTGGTTCTTCACCACGCACGGACGGTCTTGCAGGTGCAGAAGCTGATGGACTATAAGTCTGTATTACGCTATACACCTACCTGGGCAGCTTTTGCCTCGCGGAGGCTACTCACAGGCCCTTGTCCCCATATATATTATTGTAATTAAAATTATAATTATTATTATTATCATTATTATTATTATTATTATATATTTAATTATTATTATTTTATTATCATTATTACTATTTATTATTATTATTATTATTATTATATTATATTATATTATTATTATATTATTATTAATTATTATTATTTTTTTTTTTTTTTTTTTTTTTTTTTAATCCCACGGCGTCGACTGCTGAGGTCATTTGCCGTATCCCTCCTCCCATATAGGTCATTAATTCTCACCCAGGGGTAGATCTGGGTGCTTCTTTTCATTTCAGGGAAAGTCAATAGCATATTTGATTTATTTGTGTACGTAATATTTATGTTCCTTTCCATCTTTCAGATATTCCTCAGCAGCTGTTTTGTACTTTCGTGTACACACATTTATTCAGGCAAGATACACAGGTAAGTAAGTACTTTCCTACAACATGTAGTATAGATACTGATCCATATTTGTTTTGTTCCAGGGCATCCCGGATCATAGGTTTCCTATGTGTTGGGTCAATTCGTTATAAAATAAGGTTCGTTCTTCACTTGGAATTACAATTTTCAAATTTTTTTAAATATATTTATATCTTCAGGTAATCTAAGACTCGCAGGATGTGGGCCTCGTCTTTGAAGCACTCGGGTATTGTGTTTGGTATACGATAG